CTGCACGTGTCTTGTCAACAAACTGATACATGTTTGCTCCAAAAAAAGGAAGAATATTGAGAATGGTCAAATTACTTGTGTACAGATGGGAGTTCTCAAGATATTTTCGTCATACACTGAGTTGACTGTCCAAGTGTAAATTCTCCTCCAAGCAATTAATCCATGCCGAATTGGAATGACATTGCTGTTCCACTATTGTCACTCAGTCCAAATCCTAGAACTCCTTTCCCTAAAAGGCGCAAAGTGTTGCAGTAGCTCAATAGGACCTCAGCATCACCATCTCAAGTAGGGATGGGCAATAATGCAGATCTAGCCAGTGATGCCTACATCCTGTGAATGAATAAATACAAAATACAAATAAAACTTAAAAGTTTACCACATGCTTCTCACTGCAGTAACAAAACAGAATAGAGTAAACCCAGCACTAGTCGGTCATCCATGGGAATAAGGCCAATCATCTGATTAAAATGTGAGTGGTTTAATAATTCAACTTCTGTTGTGACAACCATTATAGAACTATTCCAAATCTAAACTATACTCTCCATTCTTTAGTCCCAACGAGAACAAAGTGTCACTGTTTCTAAAACAAATTTTGTCAAAAGTTGCAATGTGCTGCAGAACAACAGTGACCTGTCAAAACTCAAAAACAAAAACAGGAAATGACAAGAGAAAGCCAGAGGTAACATTTTGTGTTGATAACTTTTGCAACAAAAGGTCCAGTCCTTTAACCTACCTTTCTTTGGAATGCCAAGGGGTTAAACACTCCTTCCAGGAGTAATAGCGATATAACAGTGATATAATTATATGTCTTCTAATTTAGGATACTATTTTTGCTGCCCATGAATTAAAATTCTCTATGTTGGAGAAATGATTGCTTGTGTTGGCAGGCATGCCCATGAGCTGGAGAACTGGTGGAAACCCAGTTGTGACCATTTCTGGGAGCCCCATTGAGATAAAGTCCCTAATAGTTGGCTGCAATCTGTCTTGCTTACACCACTGGTGTCATTTTTCCACTAAATGTTCTGGTGTGGAATTAGTGCCCCACTTCTGAGATCCATGGATCCATTGAAGGCCAGCGGCACTCCAGCGAAGCCTACTTGAAGGTTGGTCCCTGAAGCTCCTGGGCCAGACTGAGTGGGGGGAGTGATTGTTGTCAAAAGCAACAGGTGATTCCCCAGGAATTCCCCCATTTCCAGTGTTGGGCTCAGGATGTCTCAGAAGGTGAGAGGACCTGTCTTCTACACTGCAGCCATACCTAACGGGGTTTTAGCTCATGACCTTTTGCCTGCATTATATGACTTTCACCCTCTGCAGGTTCAATCCCAGTGGTAGCAGGATCAAAAACTTGTGTGTCATCCTTGACCCCTCCCACCTTATGCTAGGAAGGAGTTGTAGGGGATGGGAAGATGTGCCACGATTCAATATCCAAGCCTCCTAGGCAACTTCCGGAGTGGTTTTCAATTAAGCTCAACCCAAATGCAGTTAGGATGGCTGTTTTTTTAAAAAAATTGTTCCAGGGATATGGGTATCACTGACCATTACACAAAAATAGGTGGGAAGGCAAGCAGTGGAGATGACACAAAGTGGTTGCAAAAGTACATAGACATGTTAAGTGAATTAGAAAATCTTATAACGTACAAAAGTGTGAGGTTATGCACTTTGGCAAGAAGAATAGAAAAGCTGAATATTATTTAAATGAGGAAAGACTGTAGAAATCTGCAGCACCAAGGGACTTGGGAGTCCTTGTGCATGAATCACAAAAAGCTAACATCCAAGATGGCGGCGGCGGGGTCGGCAGTGTTCGGCTCCAGCGGGTTCTGCCACAACTTTTGGTTTCATCGTTGTCTTTCCAGCTGGGAAACATTTTATTTTAATTTGGTCGTCCTGGGGCTTCCCCCTGTTGCCCTCCAGAGGGACGCCGGGGCCCTGTGTATCTCCGTTCCACCCTGGGTGGCTGCATTGGAAGATGAGCCAGGACCCTGTCGATCGACTCAGAGCCAGGACACAGTCCATCAATTCAGAGCCAGGTCAGCATCAGCATAGAATTCTTTAAAAATATATAAATTCGATAAAGGAAGACTGGTAGATGTAGTGTATTTGGATTTCTAGAAGGCATTCAGTAAGGTACCACATAACAGGTTTTTGCACATGATAGGAACTCATGGAATTGTGGGTAATATATTCACATGGGTTGAGGATGGCTAACATCGAGAAGACAGAGAGTCAGTATGAATGGATCTTTTTCAGTTGGAAAGACATAAGCGGTGGAGTGTCAAAAGGATCAGTCCGAGATCCTCAACGATTTACTATCCATGTTAATGACTTGGAGGAGAGGCAAGGTGTGATGTATCCAAATTTGCTGATGATACAAAATTTGAGGCAGGACATGTTGTAAGAGGACAAAAGGGATATGCGATGGATAGGGAAAGTTGAATGAATGGGCAAAAACTTGACAGATGGAGTTTCATGTAGGAAAGTGTGAGGTCATGCACTTTGGTAGGAAGAGTCAAAAGGCACACTACTATTTGAATGGAGAGAGATTCCAAAAGAGTGCAACAGAGAAGCATATGGCTATTCTTGTGCGTGAAACACAAAATGTTAGCATGTAGGTATAGCAAATAATTAAAAACACAGATGGAATTTTGGCTTCATCGTTGGGGTTTGGAGTTACAAAAGGAGGGAAATATTGAAACAATACACACGGTGTTGGTGAGGGTGCCTCTGGAGTATTGTGCACAGTTTTGGTCCCTGCATTTAAGGGACCCTGTATTGGCAATGCAAAAGAGATTCAGTTGGATGATTCCTTGGATGAAGAGGTTGACTAATTGAGAACTCATTGAGAGTGAGAACTTATCTTATTGAAACAAACAAGATTGAGAGGGTGCCTGACAGGGTACATGTTGAGAAGGTGATACCACAAGTGGGGGAGTTTCAAACTATGAAACATAGTTACAGAATAAGAGGACACACATTTAAAACAAGGATGCAAATGGAGAGTAGTGAATGTCTAGAATTCTCTACCCCAGAGAGTCGTGGAGGCTAGATCACTGAAATTATTTAAAGTGGAGGCAGATCGATTTTTGCATTATCAAGGAGTTATACTGAACTGGCACGAGAAATGTGTTAAGGAAGACAAGCCATGATCTTATATAATAGCTGAGCAGGCCACAGGAGCTGAATGGCGTACACCCTGCTTCAATTTCTTACGTACTTAACTTTCTTCTGTTCTGGTAAAAGTCACAGGTCAAAAGCTTTAGCTCAGTTTCCATCTCTACAGATGCAGCTTATGTGTGGAACTCTGCTTTTATTTCAGATTACCATCATCCATAGTAGTTGGCTTTTGTAGTTGACATTCAGACTTGGCTGCATTGATCAGCACATTTGACAGTTTGAGTTCCACATTGTCAAGTATCCTCCAATCTACATGGATAGAGCGTCATGGAATTTTTACATCAATACTACAACTCAGCGCCATGAAACGGTGCTGCAATATTGACAGAGCACTTAACGTCATACTGCCTGTTTTTACATGCTAAACCTGAAGTAAATCCAGCTTCAGGCTTAGTTTAAATAGTGCACTTAAGACGAGCAGTGCATAGTGACTAAATTAACTCTGTACAAATAGGACCTTGAAGAATACTACTGTATTTCGTAATGAATCAAAGCTACATGGTGATAGAAATCCCTTTACAGGGATTTGCTGCTTCTTGTGCAATTACACAGTTATCCTGTTATATGGATATTAGGATATCAATTTTAAAAGCTTTTTATTTAAGGGAAATGCTATGAGTGTGAAAGCTTATGTGACAGGTATGAGGAAAAACTGGAAGAATTTGTGAGGAAGGGGTGTTGCAGCATATTTCACCTCAGTGCTGTAGTTTTAAATATAGATATAGATGAAGGTATTATCTGAAGATTGTAGACAGTGCTTTATGCGTCAGTGCTCTGGGGATTCTTGATAATGCTATATAGAAGGAGCTGTACCCTATCTATCATCTATCATACTTTCGTTGCAATAATGGTGTTGCGTAGAGGGTGTCTTATTTTGTATTAATACATATTGACCTAGTAACACTTGATCTGACTGTGTGAGGGAGGCTCTGAATTGAAGCTTTTGTGCACTGTATTGGACAAGCATAGTACATAACGGTCTGTGTAATGTGTGAGCAGCATTATATTCCTGCCCAATAGCAAGATGGAAAATACAGGAGGAACTTCAAGTCACACATAAGATGTGATAAGTTTGATATGAGAATGGTCGACAATTAATATATTAATTCGTTGGCAAGTGCCAGTGGTCATTTCATGGGCACAAATAGTGACCAAGAGTATCACTGAAAGCCAACCCAAGTATGATTTGGATGCTAACTCAAATGGAAGAGTGCCAGGCAGTAGGTAGGCTATGTGATAAATTTCAAATTGGGATTGTTGGAACAGATCTTCAACTTGTTACCCAGATGTAGGGATTGCACTGTGCATCAGCTGTTATAGAAACCCATTCACTTTCCATGGGAATAAATAGAAGTGAAAATTAGCAGTCCCTGGATGTTGGCCTGTCTAAACTATGAGGGAGAATGGACATGAAGAAGTAAAGTTACTGGATAGTAATCTCTTGTCCCATAATATTAATATTTTGGACAGGCAAGTTTGAAGTCCACCATGGCAGATGGTGAAATTTGAGTTCAATTAATAATCAAAATTAAAAGCTTGTCTAACGGTGACTGATGTAAAAACTCATCAGATTCATGAACGTTCTTTAGGGAAGGAAATCTGTTATCTTTTCCTAGTCTGGCCTACATGTGATTCCAAACCCACAGCAATTGGGTTGGCTCTGAACTGCCCTACAAAATGGCTTAACAAGCCACTTAGTTCAAGGAAATTAGGAATGTGCAATAAATGTTAGCCCACCTAGTGATGCCCACATCTCATGAACATATTAAAAAATGTGCCAGCTTTGTGTTCAACTGTCAAGTGAAAATCTACTCTTTCGTATTTTGCAGATGTCTCACATTTACAGTGAGTGGACAGGAGGAGCCACTCAAAGTGCATTCTTCTAAACTGATGGGGAAAAGTCCTGTCTTGGGTTGCAGAAACTTTCTGTATCCAGTTAATTTCTACTCTAGGTAATTGAGTCAATCAACTTGTCTTGATTGGAATTTTCAATGGATTACTGAGTTTCCTTTGTTGGATGTTCCATGATATTAATCTACTTCACAGTTAATGTATTTATGAAAAAAAAGCCAGCCTGATTATTGTACAAATTGAGAGCAGAATGATTAGCATTTTAAAAGCAACTTTTGCAATCACAGGATATTCCAACATGGTTAGCAGTCAGTCAAGTACTTTTTAAGTATAGATGATCAGTTTAGATTCCCCCTTCAAAATGGCAGTATGGAATTTGTTGTGCCAACTTGAGAGGGCACATCGGGATTTGGATCATCTCATTTCAAAGACAGCAACTCTAACAGTGTGATGCTTCTTCAACCCCATAGTGGAGCATCAGTATAGATTTTTTGGGCTCAACTCTCTAGACTGAAAGTGGTGTCTTGGTAAGAGCTAAGTGTGCTACACATTGAAATGCCATTCAGTTGAAGTTAACCTCAAGTGAAAATAACATCCAGAGTGTGTACTTTGTAAGTGACAAATTCTACAGAGGTGAACTTCTCAGTAGTTTAGTTTGGTGATTCTTATGGGTGGAAGTGAGTATCCTCCACATGTATTAGACAATAGAAAGATATTAGAAAGAAGATGCTCAATTGTTATTATTTGAGCACAAGAGTATAGCATATTAAAGTCGCTGTAAATGTTCTCATGTTTTAATTTTCCAGAATAATCACAGAAGACCACATTCCTTGGCATCATGGGCTGTATTTTCAGTCACCCATTGTGTGCAAGGTTGATAATGGGAAAATGACTGCCCTCTCTCAAATGGCATGTTAGTCTTCTAATATCTCTGTGATGTGCTGGAATCTTCAAAGCGGAAGAGGGGAAGAGGGGTTGGTGGATAAGCAACCCGCAAGCCTCCAATTAACATGCTGATATACTCATTGAAGGTCTTGTTAACAGACCAGAGAGCAACAGAATTAAATTTTCCTATAACAGGAAGAGCAAATGATCTGGGACGTGTTAGCACACAGCTGTTGGGAGCACAGAGAGGAGCCATTATTCATTGCTGATGAAAAGCCTGGTTTTAAAAAATAGAATTGTTAAACCGAGGTGCTCATGCAGTAACACAAGATCGCCATCGCTCGAATAAACATGACTGTTTAGGCACTTGTGTGGGGATTGTCAGACTCCTGACCCTCTGCTTTCCTGCTTGCTACATTCCTCTAGGTGATGGTAAGCCCAATGAAAAATGCCGATGGCCTATTAAAATCCCTTTCTAAAATGAATCCCTTGCCACCAACCCTTAATTGGGCACTGAACTCACCTTGAGCCTGAGTAAGGCCTTCTTTATGGAAACCTGCATTGCCTGACTGATGCTTACCCATTATGGGGTCAGGATTCAAAAATGGTCCCAATGTTGGGCTCACAGCCCGGACTCAGAATTCAGGCCCACATTTCATATATTTGACACTTTATTTCTTCAGATAAGAAGAAGAGTGACAACAAGTTTTTTTGTTTCAAGATTTCACTCAAAAAGATTAGTATGGTCAGTGGCTATAGTTGAATAATAGGCTGATTGACTGTCATTCCTTCTCCTTGTAGAGACAGCGGGAAAAACATTGTGTGCCTCTCATTCCCGCACTTTCTGTAATGGTTGAATAATTTATCAACATGGAAAGTACTAATTATGATTTCTTGCTGGTTCCTTTGGATGACATAATTATGATTTAAAACATGGATTAACTGTGTGTATTTTCTGGTGTTCAAAGCCTGCGTGCGTAGCTTTCTTTCATTGATCATTCTACCTAATTGTAATGCCCTTTTAAAAAGAATTTAAAGAAAACAGTGAGAAAAAAATTGCAAGTGATTAATTGAAGCAGCCTATCTTTCCCTAATGACAATGACTTTGTTGTGTTGAAATTAGGAATGTAATTGAGTGTAAGTTGCTCTTTAATCTGATTACTTTACCAGTAGCTTGTGTGATGGTATCAGGTTTTAGCCTGTATTGCTAGGTCAACATGGACCAGTCCATTAAAGGAGCAAGGTTCAGTGAAAGTTCGCACTCTATTGTTTCACCATGGTTACAAAACAAGAAAGGAGAAATTTTGCATTTATAAACTCCAATTGCATTGGGCCCTCAAGGTACAGAAGCTTGTTATTGTTTAAAAATTAAAAGCAGAAATGTAAACCTCACAATTGTCTCCCGAGTAAACAGAAGACTGCCCTTCACTTGCTGTATAAGCAGTGCACAGATGTTCTGAGTTGAATCTAATGTCAATACATTAAAAACATATATTTGTTCCATTTTACTCGGCCATATTTAATAATGTTTAAACAGTATTCACCCTAGTCAATTGTGTATTAGCATAAGACCATATAATAATATACCAATGTTGTCATATTTGTACATTGGATGTAAAATGTTGATCAAAATACTTATAGGACTAAAAATTATAGTGTCTTTCAGCTGTTCATATTGTCAAAGGTACACTACTTTGCTGAAAAATATCACAAGAACTTTGATGGTTTCCAATGTGCACCTAGGTCAATATTCCAGGGTACATCAGTACACAAATAAACACTGTAGCTATTATATTTTGCTGTGTCAAAGTGATGGGAAATATGGTCTTTGGGCTGAAGGATGTTGTCACGTTTGTATTGAAAATTGTACTTTATTTGCAGGATATATTTCTAAAAAAAAGCAGGATTAACAGTAATTTTCTGGGATGGGACTAGTGAGGGAAATGTGTTCCCTGAGAAAGAGGGAATGTAGGCTTTTTTTTTAAAAGTCCCCTCATGCTGGATGTGTTTTCATTGGAGGATGGGACGTGCAAAGTTGGATAGCCCATCGCCTTCCAGCCCTCCCCAATCTGATCGTCATAATGTGGGGTTGAGTAAGGCACACACTAGCCCGCCCATCCTTAAGCCTATTGAGGCATTTGTGGCCAATTAATTTCCATTTGAGGATCTCAATCAGCTTCCACTGCCATGATATGCTGGGCAGTGGATGGCAGGCAGTGTGCAAAGGTCATTTTATCACCAAAGTTGGTGAAAGGAGTGAAGAGAATGGGGAGTGGGTGTCCTGCTTTGAGAGGCATGCTGTGCACATTGGGGCCACCCCACCTAAGATAATACCACTCTACCATGTCTCCTTCCCTGGCATCTTAAATCAGCTCCCATTGGCCTTATCACCCCACACTTGTCTCTCCATAACATAGCTGATTCATCCTTGCT